TTGTGTGGGGGAGGAGGCGGCCCAGCAATGGACAGGGGGACACTGCAGCGTGTGGCAGGGTGCCCCTCAGCCTGGGGGTTGCTTGCTTCTTGGTGACCTCTCACCCCTGATCTGTTCTGGAGGGTTGGAGGAGGACCCCGTATCTGCTACTGCCCAGACACCGTCTCAGGCCACGGTGGCTTGTTCAGTCGCGGCTTCAACCTTCAGTGGGTGGGGCTCATCTGGTGTAAGTGTGGCATAGAAAACACTAGAAAATATTGTCTGCTTTAGGACACAAGTAATTTTCAATACTTCTGGAGCCTAGAGGACATTGGGCATTACCAAGAGGCCAAGTGAAACACGTGCTTCATTTAATTTGGGGTAGACTTCCAGCAACAAGGAGGGCCAGAGCTCGTTAGCTCTGCTGGGCTTCAGTGTGTGTGTGACTCAGCTTTTGAGAACGACGTGATGGCTCCTTAACAAACAGCTCTGAGACCGTGGGTCCCTGGAACAGCGATGGAGCCCTGCACTAGATGCTGGGTTCCGCCGAGCCCTGGAATCGGATAGTCTTCCAGAACACCGTGTTCGTTAGGGTGGCAGACGGCAAAGGCAGCTGCTGGTCTCTGCTCTCTGGAAGGAAGGAGTATTTCCAGCCTTCTGGCTAGTCTAGTTAGCATGATGTCAAGCTGGTTGTTCTAGAATGTTCCTTGGGCTCGTGGTGGGGAGGTATTGCTCATGGTGGCCTCCCTCTGCCATGCCAGGTGGCTGAACGACTTGGACGAGCTGATGCACCGGCGTGTGAAGCTGCTGGGGGACTGCCTGCTGTGTGCAGCCTTCCTGAGCTACGAGGGCGCGTTCACCTGGGAGTTCCGCGACGAGATGGTCCACCAAGTTTGGCAGAGTGACCTCCTGCAGCGGGAGATCCCCCTGAGCCAGCCGTTCCGCCTGGAAGGCCTGCTCACGGATGACGTCGAGATCAGCAGGTGCCTGTGGGCACCCTGCAGGGAGCTGCCGAGGCGGCGGGGGTGGGGGTGGGGGTGCCCGCTGGGTCACGCAGAAGTGGCAGGCTGCAGACTGAGCCCAAGCCCCTCTCCCAGGGGTCAGGAGGTCGAGGGGCCTGGGGTTGGCGGGTTGTTCTGGAAGGCCGATCCTGCCACCCTGAGCCCTCGGCTCCCGGCTTGCTGAGCAAGACCAATTCCTGTGGCTGTCCCTACAGGTGGGGCTCCCAGGGCCTGCCTCCCGACGAGCTTTCCGTGCAGAATGGCATCCTGACCACCCGGGCCAGCCGCTTCCCCCTCTGCATCGACCCCCAGCAGCAGGCCCTCAACTGGATCAAGAGGAAGGAGGAGAAAAACAACCTGCGGGTGCGGTGTGGTGCGGTGTGGTGCAGTGTGGGTGCAGAGTGTGGTGTGGATGTGGTGTGGTGCAGTGTGGTGTGGTGTGGTGTGTGTGGATGTGGTATGGAGTGGTGTGGGTGCAGAGTGTGGTGTGGATGTGGTGTGGTGCAGTGTGGTGTGGTGTGGTGTGTGTGGATGTGGTATGGAGTGGTGTGGGTGCAGAGTGTGGTGTGGATGTGGTGTGGTGCAGTGTGGTGTGGTGTGGTGTGTGTGGATGTGGTATGGAGTGGTGTGGGTGCAGAGTGTGGTGTGGATGTGGTGCGGTGCGGTGGGTGTGGTGTGGTGTGTGGATGTGGTGTGGTGCGGTGTGGGTGCAGAGTGTGGTGTGTGGATGCGGTGCGGTGCAGGTGCAGTGGGTGTGGGTGCAGAGAGGGGCCCTCACTGCCTGTGCCTGGCGGCCCCACCCCCGCTGACCCTGCTCTGCCTCCCCCAGGGAGCCTCCCAGGGCAGCAGGAACCAACATGGAGGTCACGGGGCTCCCCACTTGGGCGTCGCTGCTCTCACGCTGTGAGGGACATGAAGGCCAAGGCGCCTCTCTCTCTCTCAGCTCCGTGAACCCTCCACCCAGTCCCGGGCTTGGTGGGCTTGAGTCACTAACTGTGGGGGCTGGTGGGGGCGAGAATCCACACGGCCTGCGATCCACCCGTCGAAGGCACACGGCTCAGGTGGTTCTCGCGTCTTTAGAGTTGCGTAGCAATGAGCAGTTTTAGGACATTATCACTCTCGAAGTAATTGCTGTCCCTGACCTGTCACCCCCCAGCCCATCTCCCTCCCCCGCGCCAGTCCGTCAGCCCCCAGTCTTCTTCCTGTCTCTACGGCCCGCCGTCCTGGACACAGCCCACTCGTAGGAACGGGTTGAACACATGGCCTTTCGGGTTCGGCTTCTTCCACGCGGGACCACGTTCTCAGCTCCAGCCACCTCGTAGCCGGGTTGCTCCTCGGTTTCTCGTTGCACTGATTCGCCGTCGTAGGGACGTCTGGCATTTGCGTACTCACACTCGGTGCTGAGCGTCTAGGATGGCTCCACGTTCTGGTGATGGTGGACGGCGCTGCTGTGCACGCGGGCGGGTCCTCAGTGCTGTCGGTGTACACCTTCGTGCTGCTCGGGTTTGCCTCGTCCTTATTTTCTCTGGTCCTTGTGTTTCCATTCTGTCTGGGAAGCCCGTTTGAGTTACACGGTCTGGGGCGTGTCTCTCTAAAACTCGCGGAGCTGCCGTGGGACAATATCCCCCAGAGAGGAATTTCCCGCCACCTCCCCAGTCCCCGTGAGTCTGAGACCGCCAGTCCCCTGCTTGCTAGCCCAGTCTCTGTGCACGTATTGATTCATTTAGGAGGTAGAGACAGGCGACTCCACAGCGTCTCCGACACCGTGCTCACCCGCGTCTCGGCGGGCTGTGACCACGGGTGGCACACGCAGGCATGCTCAGGGACGGCCCAGGATGCGAACCCAGGGCCTTTCCTATGTGGGCCCAGGTGCACCACCTCGCACCAGCACCTGGCTCCCACCTTGTGTTTTAAAGATGGAGGGACTTGGGACCAGCAGTTAACGTAATGGCTATGTCACTGGTCCCCCATGTAGTCGACCGCGGTTCGCGTCCCAGACCCGGTGGCTTAAAACTCATGCCGGGCGCTTGTGAGTGCATGCCCAAGATCCCGAGAGGAGACCGGAGGAGAAGGGATTACGGCATGGCCATCCCCCTTGGGGGGTGATTTCTCACTTTCTGTCTCTCTGTCTCTGTCTGTCTGGCGAGCACACGC